CTGCCCATGCAGGAAGCCGTCGCGACAAGGGTGAGTTCTTCGACAACGAGTATCGAACCTTGGGTTGCACCCCCTCTCGATGCGCAGTTCTAGTGGCCCTGGATGGCAATGGCAGTTTGGCACCGTCACTACCCGATGTGGGACACGCTAGGCCATGGAACATTTACCGACCAAAGAGGGCCGACAATGGACGACGCTTGTGAGACATCGTCTCCCTTTTGCGGCATGCGAGCTCTCAACACCGGTGGGCCTACAGCTAGAAGTAGCGCTACATGGCGGAACGCGGAACACCGTTGACCAAGGTGAGACATGGATCGACTACACCACCACATTGCGCAGCACGGACTCCTAGGATTTCGCGCGGGCCATCCAGGTGACCCCGAGGACCCTGGGCCCCTCTTGCGACCGCATGATCGACGAGGCTTCTGCGCGGGTGGGCCAGGACACCGACCCCCACGTGACGCCGACTTTGACGTGGCACCGACAAAATAGCTTGCGCTCCTTACAGGCTCGGCAGCGATGTCTACGGCGGAGGCTGAGGACCCTGGCAGCGGCGGTCCAGTGACCGCCGCCATCAGCGTCGCCCTACGTGTCCAGGGCCGCGCGCTCCACACCATCGCCCCCTTGGGCCAGAAGCTTGCGCAGACCTCCCCTACCGATTACGACTTCCTGGAGCTGACGGTGGTCTCCGCAACGTGCGATTGCCTCGCGTCCACGACGGAGCGCCAGTCGTTGCCTTCTCTGATGACATGGGCTGCATGATCAAACGGAAGCAGGAGGCCGTTGGGTGGGCCACCTGTCTCGCCGACCAACGCGCCCCCACTGGTGCCATGCACAGAGAGGGCGCCGCTGAAGGAGATGGCCAAACTCGTCCTCCAACCCGAGGGCAGCCATCGCACCGCCCACCGCGACGCGCGGCCCTGGGGCCCGAAGGCAAAGCCACGACGAAGCTAGACATGGGCCGCGCGGTGGGGCCCTAAAATTCGTAGGGCAAGACCGATGCGGCGACGGCCGCGGGGGCGGGCGAGGCGCGCAAGGGGCGCCCGCAGGGCGGGCGCCCCGACGCCCTGCTCCGAGCGGGCCTGCGCCTCCCACTGTTGGCACTCCGAGGGCGCGGGGCCGCCCTGAAGGAGGGCAATGCTGAGAGCGTCCAACAGCAGGTCCAGATGGCCTCGACGGCGGCGGTCACTGCTGGCGAGATGGCCCCCCCCCTCCCCCCCCCCTCCCCCCCCCCCCCCCCCAGTGCACTCGTGCCAAGCGGCGCGCTGCTTCGTAGTAGAGCGCCAGGACAGCGACAAGGAGGGCAAGGTTCGCTGGATCGCAGCGTCCGACAGCCACCGCGAGCTGCTCGGATCCACCCGCGCCCCCCGCCTCGCTTCGAAGTGGCAAAGGCTGGTGGGCGCTCAGATCGGCGACGATCCTGCCCCTCGCTCCAAGCAGCCAAAGTGGGCGAGGGACTAGCAGTCTAGCTCACGGCCAAGCCAAAGGGAATGACTGTGTGAATTTGAAGCGGCTGTTGGGTATACTCCATCCGTTTTGTTTCGCATGCCAGTCTGTCTTTCGTTTATGCAGCTGCTCTGCTGCGTGTGATTTCCCTTGGCTGGTCGGGATCCGTCGCCGCCAGTCGATCGACCAGGGGGTCGTGCACCTGTCAGGCGGCGTGCCCATCGGGGGGTGGGCGCCTCGCGCGATGTGTCTGAGTACGCACGCGTGCGCAGGCCTCTCCTCGGCAGGCCTCGTGGAGCTCGCGAGACCTCCTGGTTGGGGTTGCGGCATCACGAAAGCGCGCTTACATTCGAAGAGTCGCGCGATGGACGTTGGTCACGGTCCCGGAGGGAAAACTGTCTATCAAGTTCGGGAGCCTCGAGACGGGGGTCAACGCAAACGGGGGTCAGCCAGGGCGCCAGATCCTGCAGGATCCTGCGAAGACCCCCTCTGGCCGACCCGGGTTAGGGAGCCGCTCGTGGCCGCGAGGCGGCCGCACATATTGGCTGACCCGGGTTTGCGAAGACTCGCGTTGCAGTTTTTTTTTCCTGCATTGCAGTTTTTGGTTTCCTGCTGACCCGGGTATGGATTGACCCGGGTCAGAGGATCCCCGACAAGTGGGGGAGTCCAGCGGGGGAATGGTGGCGGGGTCGCTCCCTCAGTTTTTGCGGTTGATTTGGAAGATGCGCGTGTCGCTTGAGACACCCTCGCAACGCCGAGGTTTTGGAGGGCGCTTAAGATGTCGCGTGCCGGATCCGAGCTTTATTCGCCGAAGGCATTTTCACAACATGGGGTTGTTGAAATCGCCAGCGTAAGTTTAGGATATTCGAATGTTGCGTTTTCTTTCAGTACGTACCCGAACAAGTGGAAAGTATAAGAAGTTTCTTTCGTATACCTCATACTAACATGAGGATCTCGCTCGCGACATCTTCATAACAGAGATGCTGAACTCGCTGGCGAAACCTTCAGGTATTCGATATTAGCGCTCTCGCATGAGGCATCCTTAAACACATCAGATGTTCCAACAGCTGTTGCACGACATCCGAATCATTGAAACACCAATCGGTTTGCAATACAGGTGTGTTAAAGTGAGCGTTTCGTTCGAGACCTCCCCAACTCATGTTTTTTTCGGGCTGGCTTTCGAACGCGTCAGGTTAGGATGATGTTGATGATGGCGTTGATGATGCTGCTGGTGATGTTGATGCTGATGCTGATGTTGCTGGTGCTGGTGCTGATGATGATGCTGTGGGTGGGTGGCATGCGTTTGCATATGGTAGTGATGTTGAGGTTGATGGTTATGGTGATGATGCCTATTGCTGATGCTGTTGATGATGGTGATGATGACGACGATGATGTGATGGTGGTGACAGTGATGATGATCGTGACGAAGATGGAAATACATCTGATGAGTTTCTATCCCCCACCATCCCTGTACATCTCCCGTCCCCTCTCCCTCCTTCCCCTCCCCCTCCACTTTCCCCCCATTCATCCCTGTCCCCCCCCCTTCCTCTCCCCGCAGGGCTGGCTGGTCCTGACCTGGTGCCTCCCCGTCTCTTCCTCCTCCCTCGCTGGCGCTTCTCCCTCGCCGTCTGTCGCCGCCCTCCCCTTTCCCCAAGGATTTGTTTAAAGGTCGGCCGGCCGCTCTTCGATCACATCGTGGCCGTGCTGAGGGAGACGGAGACGAATACGGAGACGTGAGGGCGAGACGGAGGAAACAGGAGGAGCACAAAAGGGTGAGGAAGAGAATCAGGAACAGGCTTGTGAACGTTCGGGGAGCGGGCGTCCATCGGCATCCGTTGTGGACTTCCGGAGGGCTGGCCCGCATTGCAGTTGAGCGCGGCGATGTTGCACCTTCTTGCACATTTTTGTCGCTTCCGCGCGCTTTCCGTTCATATCAGGCAATGTTCTAATTTGGCAAACTGCATCGCTCGAGGCGTCCTCAACAAACGGCTTGGCAACGCTCCTGAAGGGGCCTACCGTGGTCCAAGAGAGCCCCCGAGGGCCCCCCCGAAGAGGAGCCAAAACTGGCCCCAACAGCCCCGGGAAGGCTTCCGGACGGCCCAACGCTGGCGCCAAGATGGCCTGAGAGAGCCCCCACAAGAACCTTAAGACACGCCCAGACATCCCAAGATGACCCCTAAAGCCCCCAAGAGGATCCCGACAGGCCCCCAAGAGGTCCTCAGGATGCCCTAGGCTAGCTTCATATGGCCCCAGCAGCCCCCAGGGTAGCTTCAACAGATTACGAGGAACCTTTTTTTGACGTGCTTTCCCTCGTGTTCCAAACCGTCCTTCGTCGTCGTCGTCGTTATTCTTCTCGTCCTCATCCCCCTCCTCCTCCTCCTCCTCCTCCTCCTCCTCCTCCTCCTCCGCTTCGTTCCTCCTCGTACTCGTCCTCCCCCATATATTCCTCCTAAGCCTCGAGTTTGTCTCCTACTCGTTGTTTTCCTGGTCGAATCGCTGCCCTTCCCGTCATCCACGCTGTCATCCTCGTCGTCCGTCGCCTTGTCGTCGCCATTATTTTTGCGCCCGACGGACACTACCGGCGATTCCCATCCTTGTCCGATCAGGTTGTGTTATGTCCCCAGCAGTGCTTGTACGCAGTGGTTATTTTCTTGTGTGTCTCAGGAAACGGCGTCGGTTCCCGAGGTCTTCGCCACTTTGCCCCTCGTGCCGCTTCGTTTTACACCGCATAGGTTGCATCACATCACTCACACCGCATAGCTTACACCGCATAGCTGACGGCTCACATCATACGCATAGCTTGCACTACGTAGCTTACATCACATAGCTTGCATCACGCAGCGGACACCGAATACTTGTCACTGTACATCTTACGCGTCATAGCTTGCACATCTTAGCTTGCACACCAGAGTTCGCACTTCCAGCTCACACGGCATAGCTGACACAACAGCTGCTACCACACAGCTTACACCGCAGAGTTCCCACCTTTCCAGTTCGAGGCTCACTGTTTGGGGTCCACGCTGGCCAACTTTTGTCACGATGTAAACATGTGTATGGCCGCTGCTGCCAAGATTGCTTTTTTTCACCGGTTGCTGATCTTTGACGGTCTTTGTTGCCGAAACGGGCTTCCCAATGCCGAGAGTCGCGAAGCAGTGTTTCAGAGCTGAGGAAGCAACGAGATACCGTTACCGCTGCTCTCCCGTGATGCCTTCTGAACAGGATTTCGAGGCGAATCCAGCCGCGGCGACACAAGCAAGGGTAGCCGCATCGGTACTCCGAGATGTTCCATAAACGCCCCCCCATACCACCCCGTTCGAAGGCGCGATCGGGCACCCCCGCGCCCACCGAATCTACCCCCTCAAGCGACCCAAGTCCCTCACGCCCCGCGAAGGAAAGCCGATTCTCGCCCTCCCCGCCGTCCACCCCACCACGTCGTCAAACAGCTCGGAAAATCTGTCGCTCTGACTCGATGCTCCTGCGGGGGCTGGTGGGCGCTCATAGCGGGCCCGACGTTCGCCAACGGCACGGGCATCCTCGACTCGTGCGCGGACCTCATGTCGAACAGGCCTTGGTTCGTGCAGGAAGCCTTTGGGCCCAGCGTGCCTCCCCCCGCTCGGGCTGCCTCCGCCCCCCCGTTTTGCCCCAGGTCGAGGTCCCCCAGGAGGCCCAGAAGAAGAACCTCCCATCTTGGAGCCTGTTTCTTTGATCCGGGCCGATGACGGCCGTCATCGGGTGGGGGGGCCGATGACGTCACGTTTCGCGCCGGCGGCGTCTGGGAATGCTCAGGAATGACCGAGGACGGGTAGCAGCAGCGTGCAAGTGGCGATCTGCTCCACAGCGCCTGTGTACACCACAGTGCCCGCGTCCACTACAGCGCCTTTGTACACCACACCGCCTGTGTAAACTACACAGCCGCGTGCAACACAGCGCCAGTGTGTGCCACAGTGCCTGTATGCACCACAGCGCTTGTGTACACAGCGCTTGTGTACAGCACATCAGCATTGCGCAACACAGCACCAGTGTACACCACAGTGCCCGCGTGCACCACAGCGCCTGTGTACACCACGGCGCCTGCGTGCACCACAGCAGCCGTGCGCTTTAGAGCACCATTGTTGTATATATATATATATATATATATATATATGCGCACACCTATAATTTAGGAAGGAATACTAATGACAAAATGGAGCGCCTGTGGATTCCACAGAACGCAATATAGGATTTGGAAGTACACCTGGAGCGCCGCCGGTTCCCACTAGTCCTCCCCAGTCTTCCCGCAGTATCTTCTTTCCTTCCATCAGCGTGCGGAAGGCTCCCAAAGAATTGGCCGTCCGAGAACCAAGTTGATTAATTGAATAGACCATTATGCGGTGCCCGCTGAGATGCGCACGTGCGTTGTAGCGCCAACCCGCACGACTGGGGTAAGGGTGAGGGAGGAGGACGAGGAGGAAGATAAGGAGGAGGTGGTGGAGGAGGAGGAGGAGGGAGGAGGGATGACTATCACATTCTATCATGAGCACTTCCCTGGCGTGGTATTTAGCTGTTCGCAGCAGATCCTCACCGACATGCTCCTTCTACCTGTCATGTGCACGCATCCATTATGGTGTACACCAGCGCTGCGTTGCATGCGGATGATGTGGTATACACAGGCGCAGTTGTGTGCACAGGCGCTGCGGTGCACGCAAGCATAGTGGTGTACACAAGCGCTGCGTTACACATTGTTGCTGCGGTGTACACATTCGGTGTGGCGTACACAGGCGCTGTGGTTGTGGTGCACGCAGGCGCTGTGGTGTACACTGGCGTTGCGTTGCACACGGCCATTGCGGTGTACGCAGGCATTGTGGTGTACACGCGGGTCGTGGTGTACGCGAACATTGTGGTGTACATAAGCATCGTGATTCAGATCGTCACCTACATGCTGGTCCTACGTGGCCTCGGTCATGCTTGGGCATCCGCGGACGCCGCCGGTGCGGAACGTGACGTCGTCTGAAGGGGTGGGGGGGCGGGGCCGATGACGGCCGCTATCCCGGAAAATACACAACAGGCTCCTGATTTTTTACGACGGCAGAGCGTCAGGGATTTGTCTTCCTCCCCCTTCTCCTTCTCCTCTTCCTGCTCCTCCTCCTCCTCCTGCTCATGCTCGTCCTCCTGCTGCTCCTCCCCATGCTCCTCGCGGACTTTTTGCGCCCGGGGGGTGACACAGTCGAGCGACCTCCCGCGTTCCCCAGGGGGCCTCGCAGCACCGTCTCTCACGACAGCGACTTGCAGGAGCTGTGCACAGCTCACCTACTTTGGAGGGATATGCTGAGGTTTGCTCGCAGGCTCTGACCCTCGCTCTCACCCAGGTGCGCCTCCTGATGCTTCCGGAAAATTTCCCCTCACCCGCTTCTTGCTGGAAGGGGAGAGGGTCTGGGGACCGTCAACAAAAAGACTCGGGATGGAAATGTTGTTCTTGGGAATGGATGCAGTGGAGATCCACGTGGTGAACAAAGATCGCGACGTCGGATGTTTGGGTTGGCGGCGCCCACATGGGGTGGCGTGGGCGGGGCGGCCTCCTGAATATGATTAGATTGTCCAGTGCCTGTGTTGTCGTGGTCCCTGCCAGCATCTGGGCATCGCCGTTGTGATAATCCTTATCTTATGGTGAGCATGGCAGGACCCGTTCATCGCTCTCAATGCTCGTGATTTCTGCTTCGACGGGAGGAACATCACCAAGCAAACGGTCCGCTGCATGCGTAGCATTGCTAGCATCTGGCCGTTTGAGAGTGCATGTCGGCAGCAGAGGGTGCGACTGAGTATGCAATCCACGAGTGTGGTGCAAACAGAGGCTACAGTTGCAACGGAGATCTGGTTCGTGACGACAACCTTCGTCCACAAGTATGTAGTGCGCATCGGCGTTCTCTAGCCAATCCCCATTCCCATTGGGCCACGGAATCTCAGCCCCACCAGGTCACCCGCCCAGGTGGGGGTAGGTCACGCGAAACCCGAAGGGAGCAGCACAGATCCCCAGCCAAAGGGGGTAAATCGGTCAGTGGGGCTCTGGCCACTCCGGTGCGGATGGGGATCAGTCAAACGATGCTCAGAGCATGCGTGGTCGTTGGCTCTGAGCCGCAGCGCATGTGCACATGCAGATTGCCCGCGTCGCCCGCCCGAAGCCACGGGGCCCAGTCTCGTGCCCCCTCCCTCCCTGCCGACAGTGGGGACGCCTTTGCTGAGACAGCGCGACCGAGCGCGGACGGGGTGCGGTAGCACTGATGGGAATTTGCTTGAAACCCTATCGTTGCCAAAAACATCACGACAGAAGGTTTTTGCATATTTTCGGCCTCGGGATGTCCTCATTGGGCCCCAGCACCGTCAACAAACAGACTCAGGATGAAATCAGCTCGTTGTGAACAAACACGACGCAGGATGTCTAGGAACCTTGGGTGTGGGGGGGGCGGCTGGCAGAGTCATGTGCATCCCCAGTTCCTCTTCAGCATTCCCCTTGTCGAGTTTGTGCACGCAGTCGGGTGCGACGTGTACGCGCGTGAGCTCTGTGTGTACATGTAAGATGATATATATATATATATATGTATATATATGTGTGTATGCACAGAAAGAGAAGCAACACATTATCCCAGTGCGACCCTACCTAGGAGTTGGAGCCTCTAGGAAAGCAACATTAGTAGGAGCGGTAAACGCCGTCATCCTCCTTCTCCTCATCGTCGTAGCTGTAGCAGTAGCGGTAGTAGTAGTAGTAGTAGTAGTAGTAGTAGTCGTAGTAGTCGTAGTAGTCGTAGTAGTAGTCGTAGTAGTCGTAGTAGTAGTCGTAGTCGTAGTCGTAGTCGTAGTCGTAGCCGTAGCCGTAGTCGTAGTAGTAGTAGTAGTAGTAGTAGTCGTAGTCGTAGTAGTAGTAGTAGTAGTAGTAGTAGTAGTAGTAGTAGTAGTAGTAGTAGTAGTAGTAGTAGTAGTAGTAGTAGTAGTAGTAGTAGTAGTCGTAGTAGTAGTAGTAGTAGTAGTAGTAGTAGTAGTCGTCGTAGTAGTAGTAGTAGTAGTAGTAGTAGTAGTAGTAGTAGTCGTAGTAGTAGTAGTAGTAGTAGTAGTAGCAGTAGTAGTAGTACCAGAACCGCCGACGCCACGCCGTAAGTGAAGCAGCAGCAGAAGCAGGCAGCAAGTCGCCCAGACAGCAGCAAAAGCAAGCAGGCACGGAGATGAGGGCGGGGCACTGGGGAGTTCTTTACATCTACATGGATGCTGTGCTGCGCTATGCTATGCTGCGCTATGCTATGATATGCTCTTCTATGCTATGCTATGCTATGCTATGCTGCACAATGCTATGCTGGGCTAGGCTAGGCTATGCTACGCTATGCTATGCTGTGCTCTGCTATGCTATGCTAAAGCTCAGCGAAGCTAAACTGAAGGTAAGCTAAGCTAAGATAAACCTTGGCTAAGACGAAGCTAAGCTAAGATGACATAAGCTAACCTAAGATGAGATAAGCAACGCGAAGCTAAGGGAACGTCACTGGGGGAACCGCGGGGCGGATGCCGGGGGAACCGCCCAGGGCGGGCCCCTTTGCCCGGCCCTTTAAGCCTCCGAGTAAGAACTCTTCTAGGCAGAGCCTAGGTAGGGAACAGAGAGAGAGAAAGGGAGAGAGAGAGAGAGAGAGAGCGAGATCAAGATATAGAGTGAGAAAGAGAGAGAGAGACAGAGAGAGAGAGAGGGATATGAAGGGAGGATCAGCGAGGAAGTGAGAATTTGACCATTGAGGGATGGTGATGAGTGTTGGAGAGAGAGGGGGGGAGCCAGTGGACATGAGAGAGATAGGGAGTGCGGGAGGTGATTATACAGCATATGCCAGTGCATGTATTGACAGGTGGATGAGAGAGAGAGAGAGAAAGAAAGAAACGGATAGAGAGAGAGAGAAGGAAAAGAGAGAGAGAGAGAGAAGAGAGAGATATATTAGTGCTATCTAGCACTGTGCCACAACATCGAGAAAGGGAGGGAGGAGGAAGGGAGAGGGGGACTTGCACTCGTCCGTGCAAACACTTGTATCTGTATGCGTGTATAAATATGTGCACATACATAGATGCAAATATACATACACATCTTCACATACACATTCATGTGTGTATATATATATATACATAGTTATGTTCATCATTACAGTTGTTGCAGTTAGGTGTTCTTCATTCGCTTCCATGGAACTGGGCCTGCGTTTCGGTCTGGCGGCTCCGTGCCCGCTGTCGGCGCCCCGTCTCCGCCTCGTCGCCGCCCGCCGTCTGTGCCTGCGCGTCGGCCTGTCGGCTCCTTGTTCGCCGTCGCCGGCTCGTCGCCGCCCGTCATCTGAGCCCGGGTGGCGGTCTGGCGGTTCCGAGCTCGCCATCGCCGCCCCGTTGCCGGCTCGTCGCCGCCCGCCGTTTGGGCCTGACTGGCGGTCTGGCGGCTCAGTGCTCGCTGTCGCCTCCCCGTCTCCTCGCCTCTCCTGCGTCGTCTTGCTTTGCATTGACTTGCACTGGTTTGCTTTTTTTGCGCCACATCGGTTGCACCACATGGATTACACCACGTGGGTAGCATCTCAGTGGTTGCCAGATGTGCAGGGCCTGATATGTTGCAAGACATCGCTGTCACATTCTGCATTATCTATTCATTGCGCAGCATAGACTGCATTACGTAGATCGCACAACATAATTTGCCCCACCTAGATTTCACCATGCATTTTTACATACATATATGCAAGTCCATATATATATATATATATATATATTGCTGGAAACATGGTTTGCGATCCACGTTGGCTAGCACTCAAAATGGTGGCCTCGCTGCAGCGTTGGCCACGTTGTTTCAGAATGGCGCTGTCCCCCCAGCGGGTGTCACGCTTGTAGATTCGATTCCTCGTCGTTACCGCCCCCTCCCTTCCTGCGCCTTCCCCTGGTCCTGCTCCGGCTGATATTGCTCCTCCTCGTCCTCTTTTTCCTCGTCGTTCTCATCCTTTTGCATCCTGCTGCATCCGCCACCTTATTCGCCTCTTTGTTCTTACTCTTCTTCTTCTCTTCCTCCTCTTCTACCTCCAACGCACACACCTATATGATGGGGATGATGGGGGCATCGGCGGGTAGGGAAAAATCAGCGCAATGGTAAAGCATGGCTGTAAGGGGAAAGATGCCAGATGAGGCGCGGGCATACCTACCTTGCATCTCTCCCCTCTCCTTCATCCTTTCCCTACCGGAACTCCTGGAGCCTCCAAACACTTGAGAAAGTATTCGAACATCGATGCAAGCCCCGCCGAGACCATTGGAACGCCTTCAGCACGCAGCTCATCTTTGGCCTCAGAGGGTTTCCAGGGTGGTCCAGGGGGAGGACTCCCACATTCTATTATATATATATATATGTGTGTGTCTATTCCTCAGGCTTTATGTCGCCTTCTCTCTCCCTCCACCCCCTCCCTCTTCGCCCCCTCTTCCCACTCGCCATTCTGCCCATCTCGTTATGCTCAAGGCTTGAGCGGTGGTCCCTCCGAGTTTGAGCTGACCTGCCGACACCAGTTGAACGCAGCCATGTCGTAACACGGGGGATGAGGACCGCAGGTTCTTTATAGATGTAGATGTGCGTGATGCAGACATTCAAGCAACTACGACGACCTCTCGACAAATCACGACCGGATATCGAAACCCTTTTCTTTCTGCCGCGTCTTTCGAGCCGGATCGATATGCAATGGTCTTGAGGTCTAAAATTGAATGACAACGCCCGGTGTGAGAAAATGCAGCGCCCAGATCTAAGGGTACGGTCAAGACTTCGTTTAGCGTGTCAAGGCTTTGGTTCTGGCCCACCACGACTCGGCGCGACACGCTGTGCATTTCGCAGTCTCCAGGCGTCCACGTGTTGAGCTTTTCCCGCCATCCGCTTGCAAGCCGTTGTGTTGCCGGGGCCGTCGCCGCGTCACGCTGAGCAGAAGTTCCCTACCGTAATCACCACCGCCGCCATCTCTCGGTGGCGCGCCCAGGGGGCTGGCCTTCTCAGAAGGCCGTGGGGTTTCTCAGAAGGTCTCGCGCCTTCTGTGAAGCCTTGGAGAAGGCCCGGCCTGGAGAACTGCTCGGAAGGCGCGCGGGGCTCCGAAGTCCCGCGGCATTCTGAGGAGGCCCACCCCTCCCTCGCCTTTCAAGCGCGCTTTTCACTTTCGCCTGCCACTCGAAATCGACTCTCACTTTCGGCTCACACTTTCGCTTCGCCTCCCGCTTTCGCTTCGCATCCGACTCTCGCTTCGCCTCACACTTTCACTTCGCCTCCCACTTTCGCCTTGCCTCACACTTTCGCTTCGCCTCCCTCTTTCGCTTCGCCTCCCACTTGCGCTTCGCTTCCCTTTTTCGCCTCGCTTCCCACTTTCGCTTCTCCTCCCATTTTCGCATCGTCTCGCACTTTCGCTTTGCCTCCCACTTTCTCTTCGCCTCTCACTTGTGCTTCGCCTCCCACTTTCGCTTCGCCGCTTGGCCTCGCACTGTCGCTTCGCCTCCCAGGGTCGCTTCGCCTCCAACGTGCACCTCCCACGTTCGCCTCTCACTTTCGCCTCTCACTATCGGCTCCCACGTTGGTTTGCCTTTTCGCCTCCGACGATCGTTCGCCTTTCGCCTCCCACTTTCGCTTCGCTTCGATCGCATGTCACTTTCGCCTTCCACTTTTGTTCGCCTTTCGATCGTCTCTTACTCTCGCCTCCCACTGTCGCTTCGACTTCCACTTTCGCTTCGGTC